TCCCGCAGGTTGACGGCACTGTAGACGGCCTCCAGCGGGTAGGAGCAGGGGCAGCTGGGCAGGTCCGTCAGCACCTTGCTCAGGTACTTGGTGAGGAAGTCGCTCTTGCAGTTCAGCCACTTCTCACAGCTGTCCACCTCTGGGGGGGAGGGCACCGAAAGGGTGAGGGCACGCACAGCTCGCACCCCGCTTTACCCAGCTGCCATTTGCCCGCAGACTCGCCAGCACCACCAGTGGAGCCTGCAACTGCCAGGCAGGAGCAGCCAGGCTCCTGGGACAAGCTGGAGCCAGGCTCCATCCCCAAGGCAGTGACAGAGGGAAGGGGTTTCGTGCTGAGGCAGAGCTGGCCCTCACAGGGGCTCTGCCCAGGGCACCCATCGCTACAGCGGCTGGGCTGGCAGCTTCCCCCCATGGGAGAGGGCACGCGGCAGGCTGGCCTCAGCCCCTGCACCGTAAAGCAGGACCATGTTGTACCAGGGCTGTGGGCAGAACTTCCCAGCCTGACTGCCAAAGCCTGCAAGTGGCAATGGTTTGGGTGACTTAGGTCTGGACACCAGATGCGGGAGCCCTTGGCAGAGCCCTCCCCACCAGCCAGCTACACCCCCCGTGGGGTCTGGCACCGAAGCCCCCAGTGCAAGGCAGACGCAGAGGCTGACCTGAGTTGAACAGCTCTGTGGTGTTGTCGCTTTTGAAAGGCATCTCCTCTGTGGGGAAGACCATTTCCCCCTCTGCTCCTTGAGAAGGGAAAACATAAAACAAACCAAAGAGCCAGGTTGAACACCAGGAGGAGTGGTGGTTTTTTTTCCTCCACCCCGTCTCCTGCCACTGCTTTGGCAACACAGCTCTGTGCCTGGAAGGAAGGGCCAGCAGCAAGACACGCAGGACAGACCCGCCCAAGGCTGTGGGTTATGCACATCCCAGTGGATGGAGCCGGCTCTCAGTATGCCTCAGGAAAGGATTTCAAGCTCCCTGTGTGAGAGAGGTGCAAGGGGTCGCACACTGAGCTGGACGCCAGCTCTACCACCCTTGGGCACCACATAACTGCCTGGGGAGCCATGAAGCCCCATCAGAGCTTCTTTGTGAAACAACCCCCCACGGTCATTAGCCCAGATCGCATTAAACGTAACTAGTTTTTGAAGCATGAGCAATGCCCAGCCTGCAGCGGTGGGGGGCCCGCCCACATCGGGGTCAGACAGTGCCCAAGCACTGGTACGGCCGAGGGCTCACCAGGGCAGCGTGGCAGGTCGCAGGTCCTTGACTCTGTCGCTGTGCAGGCGTAGCCACAGGACCGGGTCCTCTTCTGGTTGCCGCTGCCACAGGTGATGCTGCAAGGGGACCACGGGCTCCACTCCTCCTCATCTTCATAGTCTGTGCACAGCAGGGGAGAGGCAGAGAGTGGTGGACCTCAGCAAAGCCTCAGCAGGAGGGGAGCCAGCAGCCACCTGGGACCTCCCTCAGCTCTGCCATGTCCCTGGGATGTCCTTTACAGGGATGCAGGGCCAGTGCTGCCCAGGGCACACAGAAGTGCCTGGCCACGTGATGCCAAGGCCCAACCCTGTCCTTGCTGACAACCCCAGGGAAGCAGCCCCCGAGCAAAGGCTCTCTTGCTCTCACAGCTGTGCTCATGGTTGTACTGACCCAGACAGGCATCGCTGCCCATCCCCATCCTCACCGAACCTGCCCGATGCACTGGCCATGATGCTGAAGCATCATATGTTAGCAAAGGTTGACTGGTTTTGGGCTCGTGGCCGGGAAGCTGCAGGAGGGAGCTGCTGTGGTGCACTGGTCTGTTTGCCCACTGGCACCTGCCATCTAGCCCTCTGCAGCTCCTCTCCTGGGGGGTGCCCAGGTCTGTGGCAAAGGCTTCTGGCACTGGTGTCACCGCAGGGACCTGAGTCGATGGCAGCAGCACTTGCCATTAAACATTTACACCGTATTTCTCATCTGAGCATGCCTTCACCAGAGTCCACGCTCCAGTCTGATTACATGCAA